TTACTACGTAACGAAGTGACATACAAATAAACGCTCTATATACAAATTATTCAGTTTTCCATGAGCTTTAAAAATATCAATAAATTTCGTAGAAAGCATAACTGCACCAAATAAAAAACCTGTAAATACTACCCGTTACGGAATTTCAATTCGTTACTGAATTTCATTTTTTTTTTGACTTTCTAATGGGGACTGTTAAGGACCCTAAAGCTTTCAATTATCACGATGAAAATCGATCATTTTTCGTATCCGAGAATAGTACAGAGATAGTTCTATCGTGCAAGTATGTCTGTTCCACCTTCAAAGCCGAATAACATTAAAATTCGGCCTCTTTTTTGCGCAAAAAATGAAATGTAACGGGGCTCAAAACGAATTGTTTTTTGGTGAAATGCGTCAAAAAAATCCTTGTTCAGACACTTATCGGACGAACAACATGGTTGATATAACTAATCAACAATGTATCTCAGAGGTTGCAACGTGTCTCATTATTTTTCAGTAGTGAACTTTTAAATTTTGAGAGAGTTTTCTTCATTTTTAGTGGGTATAAACCTTCCCCATGCCAGGGTGGCCGATACGTGGCCACGTCGATAACTAACATCTAATCGAAGCATTGATGGAGTATTTCCTTTATGCAATTCTACTCTGTCAATTTAGCAATGCTGGTGGAATATGCTCAGTATACGTAAAAAAGCTGTTAGCCTGTTCCTTGTGGGATTAAAAATGTGAAACACGATGTACCCAGTACCAATGATGCAACCAAAATTTTCTTTTATACAAGTAATTGATATGATATTCAAGTATTTTAGGATTTTCGATATTTTTTATCAAATTCTGCAAAGTAAAATGAGAACACTGTACGGAATTAGTCTACAGAGAGTGTACAGAAATAATACAAAGATTTTAATGTGTTTTTAATTTTGTGAACAGTTTATGTGAAATTTTCTGAGAAAAGCATGTCTGTCACGGTCTGTGTCGAGGGAGGGGGGGGGGGATTTCTATCCCTAAACACTTCAACACTTCTTTCAGATCGTGTATCACAAAAGAGCAGTTTTTAGAGAATTCGTAAGAATAGGTACATCGTGTTTCACATTTTTATTCCCACAAGGGATTGCGTTAACAGCTTTTTTAAGAGTATTCTTTGGATTTTTTTGTAAATTATATCTATACTCAAATATTGGCTCGATTAATTCTTGGAACTGTCAATAGAAGACAATTTAGTTAATCCTTTGGAGGCAGACTTTTTTTCATAAAAAATGAAATTATATTGTCAATATTAATTATATTTTGAAAGTTGTTAACAGTCATAATTATTGCCCTTAGATCCCATTTAAAAGATGCAGCTGGTTTATTTTCAAATAAAAAAAACGTGTAGGAAGAAATAGAAAAGTAAAAGTTTATCAAGATATAAAATTTTGGAAGCAACCAAGAACGTTAAGACCTACATCATAATCTTTACACATATAATGTCAATCGGTTCTCTTCTTAGGTCTTCTATTAGTATGTATACATACAACATATTGTTTCTGAGGAGTTTTTCTTTCCGTTGTTTGGGGTACACGAGAAGGACAATGTTGAGCAATAAGTCTTCTTGGTTTATAGTTCTGTACAGATCGTGATCAATAAATGATGGTACCTTATGAAAGATATTCCTGGCACTCGCAGCATATCACTAGTAAGGTTCATCAACTTATCTCTATATACTATAGATGGAACTAATGAGTAATTCCTTTACTAACTCATTAAAATTTTGAGCCTGGATATATGCGGGCTTCGCCCTCAACGGGTTAATAGATATAGTCAAATAACAGATCCATTGAAGGCCTCCTTCTCCTTAAAATAAAATCACTAATCGACTTTTCGCTTCATTAGTCTGTTAAAATAAGATCTCTATCCTAATAAAGCGTATACAACTGGAAATTTCAGAACATACTGGAAGTAGGTTATCTTCACCCCAGGAACGTTGCTGGGGGGAGGGTGCTCGGGCACTCCCCTTGGCCAAAAAAACGCCTGGAGGAAAGTACTAGTGAAAAATCTTTTGGAGAACTAAAAATTTATTTTGTTGCTGGTGTACACGCCAAATGATGAGTCGGCATTCCCCTTGGAAAATTTCTGGCTACCCCACTACTTCACCCTCGTCAAAATTCCGGCTCCATTCCTGATAATTTACTTAGGGATATAGGAATTTTACTAAATTTTACTACCCATGTTGTTTTTACGTACGACGACTTCCCATATTTGTAGCGGCATTCTACCACAGTACTGTATAAAATCAAATAGGTTTTTTTTTTGTTCGAAAGAGGGTCAAAAATTGCAGGTCCTATGAGGCTTTATGTTATTAGTATATTGAAAAAGCATTTTTATAATTATAATGATATGTTTTGAGAATTTTGAGAGTGATTAAAATTGTTAATCCTGTTCTCCGCTTGATAAATGAGAGTTTTAAAAAAGGACTCTCATAGGACCTGGGTTCTGAGAGACTCATTCAAACATATATATATATATATATTGAACAAAGGCACACAGAGAATTTTTGCGAACAAAATAAGCTGTAGTTTGACCGTTGTTTGGTATATATCTTCCTTGAACTGCATGGTATAATGCTGAAAATTTTATCATAGCCTCTCCACTATAGCTCCAAAATATTCTGAAAATTGCATGTGATTCCAGTGCAGTTGGCTCTGAGATAGATTTTTGAGAAGAGTAGCTTAAGCACAAATACCTTGAATATTTTGTCCAACTCTAATGATTAATATTTACAAATACTTTTCTTGTACTAAACTGTCACTCAATAATAAATATCCCATTCTCTGTAACTTTACTTTTTAGAGTAAGAAAAATCAACAATTCAACGTCATTCTTACTAATTCTCGATTGATTTTAACTTTTTATAATGTCTAATTCAACTACTAATAATCTAATTGTAAATCTAAATATTGCCACATTTTGGATCAATCGCATTATTCCAGTTATTTCCATTGTTTTTGGAACATTTGGAAATTTGTTCAATATTATTATATTTACTCGACGTTCATTATGCAATAATCCATGTTCAATGTACTTTTTGGCTGGTTCAATTGCCAATTTCTTTGTTATGTATGTGGCCTTACTTACGCGTTATCTTGCAACTAGTTGGAATTTGGATCCAGCAGCTACGAATATGATCTGGTGTAAAATACGTTACTTTCTTATATATCCTCCTCTTTGTCTTGTTCTATGGTTTGTTGTACTTGCCAGTATTGATCGATTTTTCTTAAGTTCACATAATGTTCGACTTCGTCAACTAAGCAGTTTATCAAGAGCACGAAAAACTATCATAATTACTACTGTGTTCATGTTTCTAATTAACATACACGTTTTTGTTTTTGCTAGATCTGTAATCATCAATGGTATACCAAACTGTACTATCCTTCCGAATGAGTATGTAGTTTTTTTCAACTTTTTTGTTCGTATTGTATCTTGTATATTACCCCTAACATTAATGTGTATTTTCGGCATTTTGACTATCATCAATGTTCGTATGGTTGGTAATCGTGTCATTTCACAAGATAACAACATGCGAAATGAACGTTTGCGCTCAAATGATCGACAATTAATTATAATGCTTTTATTACAAGTATTAATTATTTTTATATTGGTCGCTCCTTGGACTCTTATCAATATGCACAATTCAATTGCTCTAACTATACTTAATCAGAAATTTTCAGCATCCCAACAGGCTATTTATGATTTTTTATTTAATCTTTTCCGAATGCTATATTATATTAATCCTTCTATTGGATTCTACATTTATACTCTTTCTGGTCCCAGATTTCGTATTGAGTTAAAACATTGTATTAAATGTGGACTTAAATTCACTCTAACAGCGATGGGCCTATTACAATGTCTTTCTTTAAGAATTCAGCGAACACTATTAGATGAAAATCAAACGTGTAACAAGAATACTTCATTAACGAAAAAAGGAGGAAGAAATACTATTCATCCGGATCGTCATCAAACATACATGAATAATACATCTATTGTATAGACTAATGAAAAGATTCGATGTACTTCTATTTTGGAACTTTAAAAATTCACACTATGCTATTTACTAGATCAAATATTATTCACTATTTGTTGAATAAACTAAAGAAAAATAAAGACATATTTTTCGTTGATCGAATGATAACCGAAGACAGATGTTCGTCGCACCTTCATCAGTCAAACTAAATACTTTGCTTTAGTCTGACATTTTCAAATATATCAGTATTCTTCACTATGCTGTACTCTTGTAAAAATGAAAAATTGAAACGGCTTTTCGAGTTTTACATGTATGATCAATTAATATTATACAAATAGTTTTTTTTCTATTGTGTTGTCATCAATGTGATTAATAAACAAAGAAATATCAATAAAAATGTTTGATTTTGTTGTTATTAGCCAGATATCTTTTAATGATCATTTTTTAATACATTTTTCCTAACAATGGACCTGTCTGTACTGTCAAGCGAGATGGACGACCGGGTGGGGTGCAAATGATCATATTCACTGAGAAACTAACGCATTTAAAATATGAGCTGCTGATGGCTTACTTTGACAGACATATTCCATTTTTAATTTTTATATTAATTGAGTGCAGAAACATGCTAATACGTGAAATAGTCNATTTCAGATTTTCCGTTTTTGAGTTGAGTTTGACACAAAATGACGACTTGACATATGTACGCCTAGCTAAAACTAATTAAAGAAAGAAAACTCGTGACGCCATACGATAAAGTGCTTGGCATCTTAATTACTTCAGTTAGCATGGCAAGTCTACATGTCTGTCTGAAAAAGTATCAATCAGATGAGTGGCCCATGGGCACCCATGGGCGGGCCGGCTTTTTTAGGAAAAACCATGGGCTGGGCCGGGCCGATGTTGATAGCCCATGGGCTGGTTTTTATTGGCCCGACCCGGCCCATTGAGACCTCTGCTGTATATACTCATGTAATTCAAATTGAACAAAAACTGTCGGTACACCACCATGCGGTATAATGTGTGCTATACCAGATCTTTATATCCTTGTACAATGAATTAATTATTATTATTAAATATAAAAAAAATTAATCTATTCGTTTTAATATTTTCTAGGTATGCTCGTTGTGAACGTTATTCGAAAGGTGTATTAAATTGTAATGAAGCTATTCGTTTAAGTCCAAAACTTGTTCGTGCTTATCTTTATCGTGGTTGTTTAAAATATTCTCTTCGTCTTTATGATCATGCTATTAAAGATTTATCAACAGCATTACAAATCGATCCATCGTGTTCACATGCATATTATAATCGTGCATTATGTTATGTACGTCGAGGAAATCTTTCTTTTGCATTAAAAGATTTTGCTATTGTTTTATGTCTTGTATCAACAATAAAAAATAGTAAAACTCAATTACTTGAACTTGAAACATATGTTAATCGAGGTTTATTACAATATGAACATAAAGATTTTGAAAATGCATTAATTGATTTTGAATATGCACTACAATTAGTATTAATATCTAATGATGAACAAAGAATTCAATCACTTAAACATAAATTAATATATACTATTGGACAATGTTATCATCGTTTAGCACAATTTGATAAAGCTATTGAACAATTTACATCATCTGAAATAACTGAACACGCTATAATAGATATGAATTATCGACATGATTTATGGATAGCTCAAGCTAATGTTTATATGGATATAGGTGATGATAAATCGAAATTAAAAGCAACAAAATTATTTGAATTTATACTTCATGAAAATCCCTTACATGAAAATGCACGACTTAATCTTGGCTATTGTTTTCGACAACGTGGTTATTATCAACGAGCTTGGATACAATTTTCAGCTATACTTTATCTTAATCCATCACATGTACGTGCACTTGAAGCTCGTGCTATTGTTTGTCTACAAATGAATCATCCAACAGAAGCATTTATTGATCTTAATCAAGCATTACGTTTTCAACCGTCATCAGCTCAATTACTTACAAATCGTGGTGTTATTCAACAATTTTTAGGTGATAATAGAAATGCTATGTGTGATTATCGTGCAGCTATGCTTGCTGATCCAAATAATGCATTTGCACATTATAATGCTGGAAATATACTTATGTTTCATGGACAATTTTCACAAGCTGTTACTTTATTTGATCGAGTTTTAGAAATAAATCCACGAGATGAAGCCGCATTAACAAATCGTGCTATTGCTAAAGTTGTTTTGAAACAATATAATAGTGCACGTGAAGATCTTGAACATGCTTTACGAATTTCACCATTGAGTGCACATATTCATGTAGATCTTGGACAACTATTATTAACAGTGAATGAATCATATGAAGCAGAAAAACACTTTTCAAGAGCTTTACAAATTCGTCCATGTGATCCAGTTGTATATAAATGGCGAGGTGATGCACGATCGAAACAAGATGGTAAACGACAAGAAGCTTTGGATGATTATCGTACTTGTGTTGAACTTAATGATGCATTACAATTAGCACGAAAACATGGACTTATTAAAGCACCAACTAAAACCAGGCGAAGATTATGATTTACTGTTTAGTTTTTCCTTTTTTTTTTTAAAGATTAATTATTTTTTCCTAAACTATAATTCTCCGAAAGATTTTATTAATAAAATTTGATTGTAAACTTGAAGATTCAAATAAGTGAATGAAATAATGATGCACAAGGCACTGAAAGAGATATACGTTTGAATTAAGTTAGCACTTATTCGGGAAGTCATTATTCTAGAATTTTCCGATAATATTGAATATAAATCAATAGTCTTAGAAACACGACAGATGCCTACATAAGACTTTCTTTCGTGATATTGAGAGGGCTAACGGTGAGAGTGAAGACGAGATCTCTATCTAATTTCAATACTATATCAATTTATTTTTGATCCCTCATACTTTTAACACGAACTCCAACTTGTATAAATTTATAGTATATTGTTAGATGGATTAAATTTATTTTTAATAAACGCCAAACAAATGAATGAATCAATTATTTCAAAAACTTTTGCATTTAGAATTCTTATTGTGCCAATTTGTTTGATTCATTCAACATCATTATATGGAACTTTTTTCCCCTATTGCATCATTTTATTCTTCGTTCCATCGGTTCAGTCACAATATTATCCTGCTATATTTCTATATCCGACTCTGCTAGATCAATAATTTTATCGTCCTATTGATTGACATCTACAATAAGATCATTTCGCTGCATTAAATACTATAACGTCCAATATTTATATTAGTTACAATCTATCATAGAAACATTAGATTCAAAGAATGCTGTGGAAAATTCTAGAAAGTTTCAGATTGATCGAAGCACTGTCATTTCATACGCGCCTTTTTCTGTTGTTAGTACAACGTTGATGCACACTCTCTTTATCTTTCATTGTGGAAGGAAACATGATCGCAAATGCACTGTTTTTCAAAAATTGATTTTTACAATGCACGAAAAAGCGTTAGGCAATTTCAAGAACGATAGAAAGCATGTTCTTTTCTTTCCAAGCATGATGTATCTCCTTTGGACAGAAGTTAATCCTCGTGTTCTGCAAAAAAAAAGAACGAAAAGAGAATCATTTCAATAGTTTTTGGCACAATTCAGAAAATGCTCTATTCAGGGGAAGAATGATTTTAGATTGAAAAGAAAGCATTCCATGATAGCGTGGAACGGCAAGAAATGCTCGTCTTCAAGTGTAGAATATATCCTTGTTGCCTTAGAACGCACTCACCAAATTACAGAACGTGATAATTGTGGACAAGATAGCTTTTCAAACTTTGATGACTGCGTTCCCTTCTGTTTTTTTTTTTCATCAAAATTTTTCACTGGAAAACGAAGATTATTTCAATAAAGGTTGACAAAAACGTTTCATCGTAATATATCTAATATTTCGTTCAAGCTTGGCTGTTTGGAGTTCCTTAAAATATAAATAACTAATCAATAAATGATTGAAAATTTCAATCATGAAAATCAGCTTTGAAATTGTTCATATTTCATATATGAGCTAAAAATACAATTGCTACCGGATATAATCAATTTCTTCAAAATATTGAGATAAATCACGTCAAGTTTGTTTCTATTGGTATAATAATAAATATTATCCAAACCAGCACATAAAAGAGAAAATTTGAATACAATAAGATTAAAAAAGAAAAGTAATGATTTTGAATCAATTTCTTTATACAGATTTTAATATGTAAATTACATGTAGTAAGTGGGCAATCAATTTAGTAGTTTCATGAGGTTTTACGCAGTTTTTAAAATTCGAGAACAATTATTTAATAGATGAAAGTACCTAAAAATGAATAAGATAAAGATATTAATTCAAAACTATTACTTTTTATTTGATATTTATTTATTGTATTTCACGATTAATAGTTGTCTTCGATTCATAAAATTCTAATAAACATCTATGAAAGAGTACTTAAAGATATTAAAGCCTTTTTGCCACATTCGAAGACACCTGTTAGATAAATGAAGCAGAAGACGTTTTAGAAGATTCCTCTGAGAATTGTTTTCTTTAATAATTCCTGCAGCTTATTGACTTTTTTTAGTATCTATGTCCATAATAATATCTAAGTTCAGCATGGACAATATTTTCCTTACGTCGTCATAGCGGCGTGCCAGTTTCGAGTTAGAAAAATCTTGAAAAACACAGCTAATAGGAAACAACAGTCTATTGAAAAATCCGTTTCTTTATTAAAAACATATTGTGGGGTTAAATCAGTGCTCTTTTGCAACATAGTCTGGAAAAAATCCTTAATATTCTGAATACGAAAAAGCGTTCCAATGGTCATAGAATCTAATTCATCTAGTGCACATTCGCACGAATCACACATGAAGAGATCTTTCTAAAATAGTAACATATTCAGTAAAATTTCGTTATGTATTAATCAAAAAATTTCTTCGCTGTCACACTTTCTTCTGGAAATTCAGAAAGATTTTTGTTATAAAACAAGGCATTCATGATCGAAAAAAAAATATCTTCAGGCAAACGCATAAGTTTTTGTTTATGAAATATACTTTCCGAACGTGAGAACTTAATTATTTTCACAAAAATAGGCATTGAAGTTAGTTGGAGACTAGTAACTATGCTAGTGGTAAATTTCACTGTAAATAAATTTCATCTCAGCTATTCAAACCTCAACATAAGCAACTGACTTAAATAAGTTTGATAAAAATATAATTTTTTTGTCAGATATCTAGCTATTCAGAAGGATAATTATTGTCAGTGACAGATCTTATTCTTCAGAATAAAAAATACCAAAGACTGTCTTCCCTTTTTTACGAAATATTATCTGCTTCTTTTTTATTATACGTGTGTTGAATGAGCGAAATAAACTCGCTTCCTCACGATGTACCGGGCAAAAATGAATTGAAACTAAGAATTGTTCGTGAGACTACCAAAAAATATAACATTTTGAGGGACTTAATACAAGATCTCCTGGTAGCTTATGAATGATAGAACAAAACAGAAGACTCCATGTCTTCTAATGTGTCGACGGCTTTACGGCTTGTCCAAACGTAACGCTGTTATATCTTTTTCTTCGTACATTGATATCATCTTTTTTATTGGACCTCTATTCGTCTGAATCAATTATTGTTATTTCTAACCAGACGTTTCTGCGGTGCTAATCACGAAAAACTGCATCGATGCCTTGATAAACTTCTTAGATCTCTGTAAGACTCAAATTTTTCTGCAGCAGTAAAGTATACTTCTGCTCTAGGTAAGAAACACATTCATGAGGGAACATTTTGTACTACCCAGTCTCTTTTTTATTTCGGACTCTGAATATAGTGTAGATCCCATTAAAGTATGAAAATCCTCAAAAAGATAAATGCTCTTAGGTCTTTGGTCGAGACTTACAGACATTTTACTGTAATATTAGCTTATAGCATGGGATATACTAACAAACGAACGACGGTATTTTGAGTTGAGATTATGCCAACAAACAGATCTTTTGTGAGTAAAATGTTCTCAAAACATCAACTCAAAGCAATGTTTTCTTCTTGAAATATTAAAATCTCCAAAACCCGAAAACTCTAATATTTTTCGTTAGACATGAGTGATTTTTGGAACTTTGATATCTCAAGCAGAAAACACTCTTCGGAACTGAGGTTTTCAGGATATTTGACTCATAAATATATCTGTTTGTTGGCATAATCTCAACTCGAAATATCGTAATTCAGTTTGTTAGTATATTCCTTTCGATCCCGACATTTTCTTATGTTCTGTAGGAACACGAAAAAGACATTTTAATTTCTGTCTCTTGCGCCCAGCTATCACAATCATATTGTATTGCATGCCTGATGCCTTTGCGCAAACAGACGTTTGTTCCTCGAGTGAAAAAATTACCCATGACGTTGATTGCATTATGATTTTGTTGGGTTTCTTCTGAAAATGCAACTATCATAAACAAGAAAGATCAACAGAAAAGTATATTAATAACGAGCAAACAAGCGAAACAAAAACGCACACTAATGCATTTTTATTATTGTTACGATCTTTTTTTTCTTCCATTTGTGTCTGTGCAGTAAGTGGCACTGTGATGGATGGTAGAATGTGTAAACAAAGGACTGATAAAGAAAATTTAGGCTGCATTTTTCTTCTTTTCTGCCGATGTTATTGTATCCCATCAAGCACTTTTTGCCATTGTGTATCTCTTTACTACTGTCGTGTTGACAAGTTTGGCTGAATAAGAATGCATTAAAACCAATCTAACACTGGTTGTTTCATTACATTCATTGCATTTCTCTTCATGACCGTTAATTCATACCCAAATAATGTTGCTAAAATCAATATATATTAAGTATGATTAGGATCATTTTCCAAAGATCATTAAAATCAAAACGACGGGGTGTGGGTGGGGATGTGTGAGTCAGACCTCAAAATCGGGCCACTTTTTGATGGCCCGGCTCCATTCGTGCCACGCCAAGAATTTCTCATGCCCGCCCGGTCCGACTTAGAATAGCACTATTAAAAGTATATTTCTTTTACAAAAGCATTTCTACACTATCAAACTGTACAAATACTACGGTCATTTATAAGAATATTGTAAAAATTGTATTAGCACAGTGATTATAAGTTGAGTAAAATCTGACAATGTTAATGTTTTGAAAAAGAACACTAGAGTCAAGCTAAACTGCATATTAAACAGAAAGGCTAATGTTTCTTCGTAGATGCTCGAATTTCTTGAGGATTATCATCCATTAGCACAAGCTTTCACAAGAAAATAGCCCGTTGATTAATTTCACAGAGTGAGATCGTTTAACATTTTTAGTTGTGCTGTTAATTTTAGTACATGGTTAATCTAATTACACTTTAGTGGAACTCATGCTACTTAATGCTTTTGATAGTGTGCTTAGGTTTGTGCGTAGATGAACAATATAAGTGAACCAAATAAATTCTGTTTTTTTATATCAGATATATAAAACTTCCAAACAGTTTGCATAATAGAGATTCCAAGTTATGATCAGTTGCAAGACGCAAAGCTTGTCTAAGAAACTTTAGAGAAAACTTTTAAAAGATCGAGTATTTTT